AATAAATATGAAATGAAACAATGATAAATTGATAAAATAAAAAGAATAATAATTTTATTGTATTTTCATTTATTTTATTATTCATTTAAATATATGTTATTTCATTTTTTATTTCATTTCTTGGTATATTATTTATTTACAATATTTAATTGTATCATTTTGACATTATTATGATTTATATTTATTTATCATATTTTGTTCAATATAAAAATAAAATACTAAATAACAATAAAATAACTTCATAAATAATACACAATGAAATTGTATATTAAATGATGAAATTAATAATCATTTAAAAGAATAAATAAATCAAACATGATGAAGTAATTGAACTAATTACTTCACAACATTATGAATTAACAACCATTAATTGAATTATAATTAAATTATATTTAATGATAGTTTATATTAAAAATTGAAAAGAAGAAAAAATTGAATGATTATCTTAAAAATAAAATAAGTCCAAACTAAAAATAAAAAAGAACTAATAAATAATAAAATAATAAAGAAAGAATGGAAAAACCAATAAGAAAATTAATACAGAAAATAAAAAGAGATGATAATAAACAAACACTGAATGAATTGATAAACAGATAAATTGTATGAAAAATTAAAGATAATAAAAGATTAAATGAATTTAACTGAATAAAAAGAAATTAGATATGAATATGAATGAGATAAAATTACAATACAACAGTATTTAGAAAGATTATTTCTTTATCAAAAAGAATAAATATTATAAAAAGTACATTTCTTTTAATAAAGAAAATAAATATCAAGTTTGGTTGTGATTTATTTATATTATCAACAACCAAAAAGAATCAAATTAATAGATTTATCAAATTGGATTATATAATTATAAAGAAGTAAATAATTTAGTGAATAGTGTATTGTTCTTTTATCATAAACTTCATTTCTGTTATATGAGAGTTAAAATAACATTTTAATATTTTGTCAAAATTGAATGAATGTATAAAACATTATGTCTTTCACGTGGTTAATAATAAACATTTGTAATATTTTGTTTAATTCTATTTGTAAATTTAATTCTTGCAATATTCATAGTGATTTAATGTATATTAAATTAATGGTGATATTACATGAAATATTCAATTATAATGTTATTTCTCTATTTACATTCATTAACTCACTCATTTTATTCTTCATATCAAATATTTTCTTCATTCTTTTATTTACCTCATTTGATTCTCTTTTATTATTTCTATCATTTTTACCATTTCTTATTTATTGTATATTTAATGTATTTTATTGTGATATTTATTTCTATTATAACGATATTATTTATTTTTATTTGAATTAATGATAAAATATTTATGATGATAAAAATGAATAAAATAATGAAATAGTTCATATCATTTAATTGTTATTATAATATAAATAATACCTGTTTTAATTCATTCTTCTATTATTTATATTTCTTATTAATGTGAAATTCTTATTCTTTTGTTATTTGTTTTTATAATATTTGTGTGGTATTTTGGAAATTCTATCTTCTTTGAAGAAATAGTTAATAATGAATGAAAATACCATAAAATATAAAGTATTTAACGTATCACATAATTTTGATTGTTCGAATGAATCAAATAAATCAAGATAAAATGTAGTTAACTCAATTGATGTATATTCAAAAAAAAATAAGATAGAAGAAAAGAAATAATACAAATTAAGTAGTATTTAATTCATAATAAAATAAATTTGAATTGAATAAAAAAATAGATTGATTATTTTTTATTCTCTTTTAGTTTATTCCGAATATCTTTTATCATAAATATTGTTCAATATTTATCATTCATAACATATCTTTCTTAAACACTTTCATTTTTCAATTCCTCTGTTTTTCATAGTAGTATCAATAAACATTTTATTATGGTTATTAGTGGTATTACCAATCAACTTTATCAATTTTAGAATTAACATATCCTCCAAATTTATTTCCTTCTTCATCTTCAATAATAATTATCATATGTTTTTTATTTTTTATTCTTTCATCAAATACTGATGTATTTTCATTCCAACTATCTTTATCTGAATCAATTAATATATTATTTCTTACTTTTCTATTTGTTTATTCGTCTAGTTGTCTCATTTCTTTTGTTTTGTATATTCCTTTCGTTGTTTGATGTTGATTGTGTTATTCCCATTTTTGTTATTTTTAAGTTTTTCTTTTTATTATTTTATTATATCTCTTATTTATTATTAAGTTCTTCTTTTTCTTTTTATTTTATTCTGTCATTTCTTTCTATCATCTATTCATTTTATTTCTATTCATTTATTTATATTCATTTTTTGTTATTTCAATCAAAAAGATGCATTACAAACTACACCACAAAAAATATAGAAAAACAAATAACCAAAGAAGAAATTCACATCAACTTAAAAATATAAATGACAGAAGAATGAGTGAAAATAGGTATTATCTGTATTGACAGAGATACATGAATAATCACACTAAGCATTACAATAATAATTATAACCATAACTATCACAACATAGATGATACAAATCATTTCACTCATCACTTCATTCATAATCATCGTCATAAACACTTTAATAATAATTTCAATAGAAATAAACAGTACTATCATGATAGAAATAAATACCACAATAACACTCAAAGAAGATACAAACAATATCAAAATAAGAAACAAAATATAAATAAAAGAAAAGAAATGATTGAAATACAAAATAAAGAATATTGGAAAAGACTCTTTGAAGAAGAAATTAAAATACTTACACCACAAGAAATAGAAGAAATTAAAAATACCAAGATTAAAGAGTATACATCATCAACAATATGGAGAAGATGGTATTTTCTTGAATGAGAAAATAAATTGAAAAGAAGCAGATGATAAACAAAAGAGTCTAATTGAATAGATGATAAAATAATAAATGATTAAAGAAGATAAATAAGAGAAAGATATTTGAAGAATAAGAGAATAGATATGAAGAAGAGGAAAATGCAAATAAAATAATAAAATAATAAAGAAATAGAGAAAAATAAAGAAGAGAATAGAAAAAGAACAGAATTATTAATAAATTAACGAAAAGATTGTGATATTAAGGAAGAAATAAGAGAATGAGATAAACAATTATGTGATAGAAGTATTTAAATAACATGGTTACTCTGAAAAGAAAGTATCAGAAGTAAACAATCC